TGGTTGAAGTCGATTGAAGGTACTCCATCATTTTGGATTGAATAGTTAGATGCCGAATCGATGCAAACCAACTCTCCCTAAAACAAAACTCAATTTTATTCGAACTCATTACTTGTAATAAAACTTTATTAACATATAATGTGTATTTTTATGAATCTTAAATTTGTTCTAAAAGTGTTGGTGGCCACTTGTTTTGGTGCACGTGTTACACTAAATTCATTTTGATTTTGTTCTTTCTCTACGGATCACCGTCACCAACGAGAGAAATGAAAATGCAGCTCAAATTTATCCTCCACCATTCCCGAGTTCCAATCTCTATTGCCAAAGAAGAATCCAGTTCTACTTCCGGTCTTGCAGGCTTTGCTTATTTACTTTGTAGTTGAACTTCTTTGTTTCGATTAAGTAAGTTGTTATCTTCTGCTATGTGTCTGAAGTGGTTTCGGCTTGGATATTGAATTCTTGCGTTCGATTGTAACAAATGTGATTTGATCAATGTCTGTCAGATGTTTTGTCAATGTGTATTTAACCGTTGTTCTTTGTTTATTTAGCTTCTACTTGTTGTTGTCGTGGTGGCGGTGGTTTTTTTAACTTGAAGTATGGAAGAGATGGCGCGCCGCCCATGCTCTTTCCTTCTATTTTTAGCATAATTTTTAATGATTAGATTTGAAATTAAAGTGCAATATTCGTAACAGAATGCAGTTGCTCGCAGATAAAAGATCTTACTAGCTTGAGTTATTGGCTGAATTGGAGAGTGTTGTTCTGTGTAGTATGGGTTCTCACGCCCATGATTATAGCAGTACTGCTTATTTGGAAATATGAACATTCAGAAGATGTACTAGGTATGTTATATGTTTTATACAATGTAAGAGATGTTGTTACTAAAAGACGATACAATTGGTGTAAGTTTTGATTGCACACATAAATCCATGCCTTTATTTTTGTTTTATATATAGACATTTGCTTTTTTCAATTATTAGTTGATTATCATTGGCCAATCAAGATCCTATTTTGCTATGAATATATGATTTGTAATTGTAACATTGTAGATAAGCTCTGTCATTGTAACATATATGATCATCTCGGTAACACCATCATGATGAATTCTATGGTTATTGACAACAAGTAAATATTTTGAATCGAAGATGGTCGGTTTCCCATGCACAGGTTACCAAGGCATATGTACACTTTATAGAAGCATATGACACTATTATTATAAGTTTGTAAGATCTGCGTTAGGGTATGTCGGTATTTAATGTAGGTATATAAGTAGGTGCTTTGGGTACAGACACCGACATTCAAAGTATAAACAATGGTTGCTTAGGTATTATCTGTGTAGTAGCAGATATCCTTGAGTGTGGTCGATTTTAGTCAATCCCCTGATGGAGAAGACAATTAACAAATCAGTGTTTTTCTCTATTAGCTCCGCTGGAAATTGGTTAAAGCCAGGCGCGATTGTTGTAGAGGTGTAATTTTTTTTTTTTTTTTTATAGGATGTTCATCAATCCTTTCATTATAATTATTTTTGATGTGCTAGACATAATGTAATGTTGTATATAAATATACAACAATAAGAGTGTTGCATTGATGCTATTTTAAAACTTTGATGTAATGTGGTAGATGAATGAGAATTACGGATATGTGATGATGATTTTTTATATATGACTCGTTGATGATAAATGTTTCTTAAAATGTAACGCAGGTACACAAATTGTGGGTCAGTATTTTGTTTATTTTGAAGAATATATAGTTGGTGTCACGAAACACATGGGCCTGTAGCGTATTATCCATTTAAAAATTATAGTAAATTTATGTTAATTAATTTTCTAAATGGCAAAAAGTAAGTAGTATACTGTGTTGCAATCGTTAGACCCATACTAAAAGGGTTATGAATTCTTGTTCTAATCGAAATCTATCGAGCTCACTTTATGTCAAAGTACATTGAAACGAGCATTCATTTAAAGTATGCAGGTACACAGTTACCCACCTATGTCATAATGTTATTTTTTTATTTACATGAAATCAGAGCACGGGTACATAATTTGATAAGAATTGGTACATTAAAATCAATAGGGGGTACATCGGAGCCATGTTGAAGTACATACAAGCTCAACCAAGTTATACTTCTTTGAAATATTTCTGGCTAATTGATATTGAGTTTATAAATGTGCAGTAGTTTGGTTTATTATATCATGGGTCAAAATATTTTAGACAAGATGTGTTTCTCTTATTACTCAAAAAACACTTGAAGTCCTAATAGTAGATTATAACTAGCGTTTTCACTTGAATGTTACTGTGTGTGCTACGATGTAGATTACTATGTAATAAGTCTAAAGATTTTCAATTCGTGACAGAAATCATGTATTCTAACAACTAATATAATTTAACTTAGTCATTTATAACTTGTTTAGCTATCAACAAGTGGAGGTTATAGTATAATTCTATATATATCATACAATATAACTAAGTCATTTTTTACTTGTTTAGCCATCTATAGTAAATATGTTGTTTATCTCTTTATATAATTCAGAGTGTTATGGAAATACTATCACAATGAATTCATCCCTGATTACCGACAAAAGTGAATATTTTGAACCGAAAATGGTCGGTTACCTAAGCACAGGTTACCAGGGTATATATACCCGATATTGAAGCATGTGATACCAACATTATCGGTACGTAAGATCTGCGCTAGGACATATCGGTATTTGATGCAGGTATGTTAGTATGTGCTCCGGGTACAAACACCGACATTCAAGGTATAAATAATGGTTGCTTAGGTATTATCTGTGTAGTAGCAGGTATCCGTGAATGTGCTTGATTGCAGTTGATCCTCTTATGCAGGGGCCAATTCACGAACTCGGTGTGAGTACTTCTTCTCCCAGCCCCGATGGAAAAATTTGGGCATAGTACGTTTACATTCAACAGCACATGCCCACACTTTTCAAAGGCAAGACAATAAAACATGTACAAGTAACAACCAACATAGTTTAACTAAGTCCTTTATGACTTGTTCAGTCATCCACAATAAATATGTATTTTTTTATCTTTACATAAAGTTCTAGGATTCATGGGAATACTATAATGATACATTCATCCCTGATTACCGACAATAATTGAATGTTTCAAACAAAGAACGGTCTGTTTCCGAAACATAAGTTACTAGGGCATAGATACTCGGTGGAAAGGTTTGGGCATAATACATTTACATTCAGCAGCTTATGTCATATTTTTCAATAGCCTGATTACAAAGCCATATAACGTTATTCAATGAGTGTAATATAATTACTTTATGCATCAATAAGATATAACCGGTTGGATCCGCTGGCATATTTTACTATAGTAAGTGGTATGTAACTCTATTACACAAATATATAATGAAATAGTAGAGGTTTGTAAATGTATTCTGCGGGTATATTACTAATTACTGAGGTATTTGATGATGCAGCTCTGTAAGAACGAATGATAAATATAATATCTTGTTATTGGGTAATCATTTGGAGTTCTAATAGTTGATTAAAACCCGTTGTTATTGCTAAGTACAACTATTACCTATATAGCATAACTAAACACTAAATTTGCACATGCCACACAACTACATTGCTATTATGAAGTTATATACGTTAAGATTACAGGTATATATATGCCTTCTGCAAGCATATTGGTAATGGATTGAGCTATTTGGTGATGCTAACATGTGGGAACAAATGGTAAATATAATATCATGTTGTTTCCATAATGTCAGCTCCGATGTTGAATGACGTGGGCTCCGGGCTAAAGTTATTAATCAAGGTAAGTAGGTGGTGCCACTACAACCTCATCTTTGAGCAGTCCAGAAAATGGCCGAATTGAGTCATTTTGATGGCTCTAATATGTTCATCTAATATGCATTTATTCATTTTCTCAACCTCGTTATGGAAACATGGTACTGTAAATTGGATGATAACCTATTTGTATTCTTTCCCCAGTTTGTAAATAAATACCACCAATTTACATTACCTGAACAATCAAACAAAAATACAAAAATATGCAACTTCGGGTAACTAAACAAAATGTACATCTACAAAATTAACAAAAATCACAAATTGAATAAATAAAATAATCCAAAATCGGTGCCAAAATAAAACACGCAACTCGGTGTATCTGGGCAAATATACGAACGATTGTAAATCCGATTAACAAATAAAACTACACCGATCACTTAGGGCTTCTCAACACCAAACCAATACATACAAACACGGGACCAAGACTTACACCTCAAATAATCGAACAAATTACGGTATAATATCGAGGTCAATAAATCAAAACTTGAAAAAGTCCAACCTGGCACTTACTTCTCCAAGCTTGTCTTGGGGGATGGGAGCGGTCAGCTGTTTTCTTTACATTTTTGCACCGAATCGGTTGTTACTTGATTGCCGGAGATTCGAGAGCATCGGTTTGCCTGGAGATTGAAGAAAAATGGTTTAAAATCGGTGTGACGGGAGTTATGAGAGGTTTTCTGCCTTTACCCCTATTAAATCTTGAAGTAATTATTATTATTTTTAATTCACAAAAAGAAAATATACGCGATTTCTAACTAGAAGTATATAATGTTACAATAGGGGTAGAACAGGAAGTAATATAGATATATATTACAACATTTGAAATATTGATCAACCTATTTCGAGTACATGTTGCGTATACAACGGTGATTAAAGGAAAAATAGACATTAGGAAGTTATAACAAACCTAATTCATAAAGCAGAAACTGGAGAGTAACTAAGTTCTAATAAGGACTGAATTACCAATGTATTTGTCTGACATTTTAATCAACTTTCCCTTATTTAAAAGGTAGTGTACTCAATGCTATTTGAAAAAAATTATTATTTTTTTAAAAAAAAATACATCCCAAAGCACATACCCAAAATTATTAAAGAATGTCATAATACACTACGCTGTAAATGTTGTACGCTGACACACATAACATACATCCTGCCCGACCTTTCAAAACGTTATTAAAAAAAAAAAAATGTCAACCTTGCCAGGAATCAAATAACAATTCTTCCTTAATTCGGAAGGAAGAAAGCGAGTTTCAAGGTTCCAAGGATCGCGATGGAGAGTGCTAGGAGTCACGCAAACACACAATAAACTATTTGGTGAAAACCAGGCAGGGTTTGTTTGGTATTTATTAGGGAATTTTCAGTGCTTTAGGGCAGCCTTGCTCAGTCTCCCTTTTCAATTCGAATTTCTGCACTTTGTGGTGTTTCTGCTGGACATAGGAGTTGATCAGGACGACACCGTTTTGAAGAATTGCGAATCGTGATGGATTCCCGTACTCTGAGGAGACGACTCCACCACGGCGATGTCGATGGGGGAAGATATGATCGTTTCGAGACTTCGAGAGTCGACTCGTTAAACGAGCCTCTGCTTGGAATTAGGGATCTCGATTACGATAGACACGCTGAGGTAATTTTGAATTTTGTACAGAATTTCAATCGGTATATCAGTGTACATGTCTGTATATATGTTCCTTTGTATGTCTGTGTAAAAATGAAAGGATCAATTGCTGGGAGATGCTTTGGATGATCAACGGAGGAAGGAGCACCTGCACTGGTCGCTGATCTTTTCCAATGTTCTTGCGCAGTGGGCGCAATGGTTAGGTTGTGAACTTACTGCAATTTTGTTCTTATTTATTGCTTTTTTTAAAAGAGGATAAAACTGTTTGTTTTGTTTTGGCTTTGTTTCCGTGTCTTGTGTTTTAGATGTTTTTCCGGCGAAAATAGGTATTAGGTGCTACGATTTAAAACATAAAATGTGATGTCTTAACTGATAATTAATCTAAAAATGTGATGTTTATGGTGATTAGCTTGAGTAGTTTTATGATAGTGACGATGAACCGGATAAAGTTTATGTTGAAGACATAAGCATATGTTAAACCATATAAGAAATCTATTGAATCACGTAGAAAATCTGTTGAAATGAATTATTAAGATATCTGGATTGAGAAGAAACAGAAAAGACTGTGTTGTAATATTTGATTTGGTTGATGTTATATGAGCTATAGCTGATTTTCAAACACAGGGGAATAGATCAAAGTCAATAATCCTTGCTTTTGAATGTATTTATAGTTAGTTTGACATGAAAGGGTTAAGTCACTTGTCGTTCTTGGACGTCTGAATGTTATTGCAGCTGAATTGGTTGCTATTCTTGTAATTAAGATTTTGGACTTTATCCATTTGCGACCATTTAGATGTTCTCGTAAGTGGATTCATTTTATTCACAGAAGTTATTGAGGGAGTTGTGTTATATCCGTAATTCCGTATCCATGGCTTCTCTATGGATAAGCAGTCACTAATAATGTAGTGTAGATCTTATAGCCTGCAAGATGTACAATAGTAGAACCTTGTTGTTGCAAGAACTTATGGATAGTAACGCTGCTTTAATTAGTTTTTGACTCTAAACCCAAAGGGGCAAAGAAGAGAAAATAATTGGAAGGCATTTTTCATGCGTGGGCGTAGATCCTTAATAGTGAATCCTTAATTAGGCTTGACTAAAAGTATCCAAGTGATAACTTTCAAATTCGGAGAAACTCCAGAATCAAGAAAAATGGTCAATAACTCAAAAAAAATCATTGGCTTATCGAATTGCCTATTGAGCAATGAAGAAAATTCAACAAAAGGCAAACATGTCCACTATCTGATTTAAAAACTCTTTCTTTGGTGTAATTATTGATTAGAAGATTTAGCTTATCCGACTCATTATTGGTTTGATGCCAATAATGGTAATCCTTTTAGGTTAAGGATTCATCTGTATCCATGATTCTCATTTAGTCCTGAATTCTAAATTTTTAGAGAATGATATTGTTTTAGATGTATAATCTATGTAATTTATTATTAGGTGTTGTTGGCTTTATGATTGCTTAATAATCTTTACTTCCTCCAGCAACTGTCGTCCTCGCATCTGGATCTCTGTTTGGAAGGATATTACCGTTCATCTCAGGCATGCAAAATGGAGAAAACAACTTCCAACCTGTTATTCTTAGCTCTTTGCAGGTACTCACAAAAACTTCATCAACATTTAGGGAGATGAGAAAAGAAACTTGATTTACTTTCTTCTTTGTGCAACATAAATTTGAGTATTTGTGTGTTTTTTGGTTGTGTTTCTTGATTTTGAATTTTAGCTTAAAATAGTGGTTAGATGTGATGTCTTGTTAGAGGAAACAATATATTTTTACAATGAATCGTGAGTGTTGCTTTGTAAAAAAATTGAAAATAACTCAGAGAACTGAACCTTTAATTATGTACTGGGATTTATGTCTTTTTTAACTTCAAGTCTGGATTTTTTATAGTTTATATATATATGTATATATATATATTTATTTATATATACTCTAAACAATCATATACTGTGTTTAGTTGTGCTTTGGGTTGTTTTCAGTGGTTCCAATTTGAGCTTTTTTTTTTTTTTTTAATGAAAAGTAAGTTTAGCTTGTGATATTTTAAGTGAAAAATAAATATTGAATATGATGTTTTTGAATGGGGGAAATAATTTCATACCAATTGCATAGAGTGAAATTGGGGACATAATTAAACACAGTTTGTAACATTTTAGCGGATTTAATATATATATAAAATATACACACAACCTGAAGCATTACACCTGGTTTCAGACATACAAAGATGGGGGCAAAAATCAGAAGGCTCAAGTTCATGTCGGGTTCACAGGATCACATTGAAACTTGGGTTATCTACCATTTACATGCTGTTAATTAGTTTAGCAATTTAGGCAGAGTGGGTCAAGATACCAGTTGGGATAGGTGAATGTGTTTGTTTTTTTTATTGAGTTCAGTGTATACTAGATTTCATGCCCAAATGCATTTTTTGTCTTTTCCGAGCTGCTACATGTAATTTTTGTCTTCAACGCATAGCTATATTCGTTTTTTATTCTTACATTTATCCTTGATTCTTGAATTTGCTTAATGGCAGAAAGAGCGGCTGAAACAACTTAAGGAGAGATTGTCGATACCTTTTGATGGCACATCTTCAGAGCATCAAGTATGTAATCTCCATTTTTTTCCAATTTTTTTGGGTAAATTACAAACTGACCTGCTGTAAGAAACAAAATATTGGAAAAAATGGAACTTTAGAGGGTAGGGTGGGGAGGACCTCTGCCAAAATCACCCCACATTTTTTAAAATTTGTGTGATTTACCTTCGCCCACAACATTATTTTTCTAGAGAGTTATTTGATGATTTTTACTCCTGTTATGTTTGAAAATTCAACATATATTCTTGAAGGGAGTCCTATCTTGGATACCTACACATATATAAATTATGGTTGGTTTTCCATAGGATGCACTTAGACAACTATGGAGATTATCATATCCCGACAGACCCCTCCCTGCCCTTAAATCTGAGGTTTGGAAAGATATGGGATGGCAAGGATCTGATCCTTCAACTGATTTCAGGTCTGGTTTCAATGTCCTTTTTGTACGTTTGCTGTAGATCGATAGTAACCTGATTAAAGTCTATGATGGATTTCTTTTAGGGGTGGAGGATTCATATCGCTGGAGAACTTAATCTTCTTTGCCGAAACATACCCTGTTCGTATTACCACTTTCTTGACATTTCGACTGAATTTTTTTAGTTATTGTTTAATTTTATACTGCTCTTTAACCTCGACAGGATTCATATCAAAGTTTGTTGCACAAGATAGACGGAAACAGGTCGGATTGGGAATATCCATTTGCTGTGGCTGGCATCAACATTTCCTTTATGCTCGTCCAGATGTTAGATCTTCAGTCTGGTAAGAATATCCGATTATACTCCCTCCATGCGGGATAATTATTCCACTTTATTTGGTACAGACTAACAAATAATAATATTTTAATATAAAAGTGCTGTAGATATTATGAAAAATTTATTAAAGAATTGATAAAAAGGTAATGGGATAAATAGAAAAAATAACGAGAAATTGATTATTATTTGTTAAATAGAAATAATAAAATTGTTCCTTATAAATATACTATTCATAAGTTTAACTTAAAAAATAAAATTGTGGCATTATTATCCAGGACGGTTAGTAACTATACATGTTAGATAATAATGGCGCACATATCTAAAGTGATAATGAAGCGACTTGTGCAGGAAATGTGAGCTCTAAGGCAGGGCAGCAGTTTCTAGAATTGCTAGCGGAAGACGGGATGGCTTTTGACAAAATCTTCTGCGTCGCCTTCAAATTGTTGGACGCACAGTGGCTGGCAAAGCGCGCATCATATATGGAATTTAATGTCAGACCCGACTCTGTTATTTCTGTGGACTATGTATAATACATCAGAACTCGATCGTTTAGCTAATGGACAATGCGATCTTTCTTGCTTATGTGTAGGATGTGCTCAAGTCTACACAATTACAGCTGGAGCGTGAGATGGCACTCGAAGATGTGTTGAGCGTGCAAGATTTGCCGGCTTTTAATTTACTCAGAAGCCGAAACTGGTAACTCTCGGGTGACTCCGTGTTTCTGTACATTCTCGATTGTGTTGGTGTTTGTGAATCTGTTGTTCTAACCCGGTGCGGACGATAAGAACTTGTAGATTTTGTTTGTGACTGTATGTAATGACTTTGGATGTTCGATAAAAAATTGAAACTAAACTTCATTGATGGTGTTTTCTCACTTTAAAAATCTAAATTCGAACGCTAAGAAACATGCAGCAGAATAAATAACAAACTCTTCACATGTCGTCGTTAATTTGTTGTTTGAACGATGAATAAATCATAGAAAGGCCTATGCATAATTAAAAATGCAAACAACACATATGACCCTTAACTGAGAGTACCAATTTAGGGATATTTCACAATATATTCAGCAAGAGCATGGTAAAAAATTTTTCATACAAACTTCTCTAATCAGTAACTATACACAATTTAAATATATTGGTTTTTGTACCATATACAACAAAAATAAGCATATAAGATCTCTGAGTTCCATTGGTTGTGCTCTGAAACAAGACTATAATGTAGATAACCTATCACATTTTCTTCCTTCAACACTCGTTAGAATTTTTTTATTACAAATACACTAAACAAACACATTGGTGTTCAATGACACAATGGAGTGTTGGAACTCCTTTAGGATATTATCTTCGGCTCCAATAGGTTTTGGTTTCAACCCAACACGATAGACAAAATCTTTTTAGATTTTTTTTAAGAGTCCAGCATGCCGGAATTAACACAGCGTAAGGGTATCTAACCATGAGAACATGAGTTCCTGGTCGGTCGCAACATTTATTACAACATAAAATTTGAGTAATTTTTCTCTCGAAAATAATATGTGAAAAACTGTTAAACCTTAAACTCTAATTTTTTTTCAAGAATATAAAAAGCTCCTGACTCCATAATACCAAGGGGTTGTGTATATATACAACACACCTTCTTTCTTCTAATAAAAATTGACTACCCAACCGCCATAAAAAAAAAAATAAAAAAAAAATTTGACAATCCAAAGATTTCCTATAGTCACAGATGTGACTAAAGCTTTCGATGAAAAGGAAAGGAAGGAAGAGGACCATGGAAATGGGTAAGTTTAAACTCGAATACCATGTCAAACATACTTAGGCCACTTACATAGAGGATTTCTCCCAATGTCATTATTAATGTAAAAAAAAAAAAGTAGTTAAAAAATATAAATGTAAATGGCACATTGAATCAGCGGTTGTATATTGATATACCTTATAGCAACTTTGGCATTTTGAGTATATTGTCTTGTATTTCAATTATAGCCATTTTTTTTATAAATTTCATTTTACTTATATATTTTATTTTTTTGATATTTTGATATTTTATAAAATTTTATTTTTTATAATATGATTCCAATATTGATATACTTTTCTTGAATAAACTTTTAGTGGAATGTAATCAATTAATAATAATAGTAATTTACTTTTTAATTATCTTATAATTTATTCAATAAATTGCACAAATAATAAATATATATAATTACTAAATATATAATTGATTACAACATTAATAAATAAAAATATAATAAACATAATGATATTTATAATATAATATTTAAATTGACAAATAATAACATACATAATAACCTAGAGGATAAAATATTAAAAATACTAAATATAACAATATCGATAATCTAAACAACTAATTTAACTATTCGTGAAACAATTTAAAATTTCAATTTTTTCTTTTCCGCATCCAACTTTTCATCTATTGCCAACAATATATTAAATATTTCATACTTTTTTGCTTGTATCTTTTTGTACATTTTTTTTTCCCGCTCATATTGCAATGCAATCCAACTATTATATAATTTTTTGCATTTTGAACTTTCAATCTATTTAAAATTTTTATAATAAATAGAATTCGAATCTTATCTCTGTGTTCGTTTTTCCTCATTTTTGCAAGCTTTCACACCAAGTAGACAAATATGATACGATTCATCAAGGGTGTGTTTGTTTGGGAGTTTGAATTTTGAGTTGAGATTTGAATAGTAAAAATTTTGAATTTGAATAGTTGTATAATGTGATATAAATATGTGTCGATGTGATATTTTGAATGTAAAATATTTTTTAGTATAATATAAAAAATAAAATAAGTATTTGATTTGATATTTTGAAAAAATTTGGTGAATAGTGGAAGTTGGGGAAAATCCCCCAAGCAAACACATTCCAAAAGTGTCACGGAATGGTATTGGAGGATTTGAACTTGATAAATATCCATCAACTTCGTTGATCTTGGTTCTCTTCGAACCACCATTACTCTCATGAGATGCTTCGCCAATAATATTAGTGGCACAATAACTCGTATGTCATTTTTGTTTATATTTCAACTCACGCCATGCATGCTCATATATGATCCACACTGTTTTCTTTGGTTAGATTGCTTATAACAACTAACAAATTCTGATACAACTTGACTAATTCTTTACCAGTGATTTTTATACTAATTTGAAATTCTCCGCATACTTGTATCTAATTTGTTTTTCATATAGTATAAGGATATTCTTTTCCGAAACATAAAACCTTTTTTACTAGTCTTTGTAATAGCATTTTTACTTGTGTTAAATCACGCACTAAGAAGAAGTAGATTTTTTTCATGACTATATTTTTTTTCATCTTCTTGGTTGGAATACCAAATTGTACATTATCAGTTTGTGTGCAAAATTCAGAAATATGTATGTATGTACATTTTGCATTGAACCCGATGGTGAAACTCTAAATGTTTAAAAGATCGGCAGGTAAAAATTAATGGAATAAAGTGGTAGGTTGAATGTAGATATTTAGGAGCATTTGGTAATTGAAAGTAAAACTTTGGTTTCACGAATTTTGTGAAGATTCTTTATTTTCAAGCATATTTATAAAAATCTGAAACATATAAAAGGATTTTGCGAATTCAAAGAGTTTTTAGAATTTAAATTAATGAATAGAAGAAATGTATTGAAGAAATATAAGAATAAATTACGTTAGAATATGTTACCATATGCATATAACAATCCTATTAATAATATTTCTAATAACTGTACTACAAAGTAATTTTTCATATCAAATTGATTCTCATTAAATTAATTAGGGCAAATTATATATCTCATACCCGTGTTTAGTTTTTACCATAATACCTCATATGATAAAAATATTAGCTTGAATCACTCTATGTTAAAAATTAAGTGCACACGCTCCCCACTTAACTGAAAATATAACATTGTTTTAATATATGTAATTGGACCGTTATACCCTAAGTTTAACAAAATAAATTATTTTATCAAATTTGCTATGAACCGTTCGTTCATTCCTCCCTAAACCGCAATATTCTTAATCTCCTCCAAATTCTCTTGAGCTAACATTCAACCATTGTCCGCCACCGCTGTTCCCTGGAGAATTTTCACCCATTTGAGATGGTGTTTCGTCCCTGCATTTCTCGTTTGGCACCAGATTTGCAGTTCGCAAGTAAGAATCACTTTATCGATTTTGCAATGAGTAGCCTTGATTTCTAGGTTATGTTGCTAATATGAGCTTTGTTATGCTAAATTTTGTAGAAATTATGGATTTTTTTTTTTTTTTTTTTAATGCAGTTGTTGGCTTTATGTGCCTATTTATCTAGGGCTTGGTCTTTGTTGTGATTTTTTTAGTCTTTGTTGTTAATTAGGACAACTGATTGGTTTGTAGTGACAAATTTGAGGATTTTTCTGCATTGTTTATGGTATTTGCTTGGACGCCCCATTGGATTATTGATATTTGGGGATTTTTTTGCATTCTTTGTGTTAGTTGGAAGGTATTTGTAGGGACCATGAAACTTATTTTTCGAATTTGTTCAAATGTTCTAAATTGAAAAAATATATATCATGAGAAACAATATTGATTCGACGAATAAGGAAAGCGAACATGGGGATGACGACATAACAATGGGTGATGGGGTGATAGAAAGCATCAATCAAGAAGATTCTATTAGCGATGTAATGAAACATGGATGGGGCAGTGTTCGAGAGGATGAGATTGCAAAGAGAATGAATGCAACACCCATACCAAATTTAGAGGCATAAAATTTTGATGATGAATGCCCAGAACCTTCTGACTCTGATGACAGTGACTTCGAGGAGAGTGCCGAGGAGGAGGATACCAAGGAGTCAAACGATCCCTCTTAGATGTACGACGAATTTGATGGCCCGGATGATGATGAATGCCCAGAACCTTTTGACTCTGATGATGAATGCCCAGAATCTTCTGACTCCGATGACAATGACTTCGAGGAGAGTGCCAATGAGGAGGATGCCGAGGAGTCAAACGATCCCTCTTAGATGTACGATGAATTTGATGGCCCGAATGATGATGACATCTTCACAAGGCAGGCACAAGAACCACATGATGGGTGAACTAAAATTAAACAGTTGTTGAGGGAGGTGCGTTCTTTTAGAAGAGAACAAAAAACGTAATCGAGAGAAAACAACATCACAAGAAGTTAAATATGGAAATACAAGGGGCGAATGGTTTAGGCAAGCTCAGATTGTAATATTGAAGGAGGAAAAATGCCAAACAAGGAGAATACATTGCCTAAGTTTGGTGAGTGGGACGAGACAAATCTATGGATATGAGAAACAACGATCTTTCCATAGGTATGAAGTTCCCTTCTTCGAAAAAGTTTAAATAGATTCTGAAGGATTGGATGGTCGTAAGAGTTGGGAATTAATATATCCAAAGATGGAACAACACGTGGTTATAGCTGTTTGCAAAAAGAGTTTTGATTGGTCTTTAAGAGCATCATCTATATTGCGATGTCAAACATTCCAAATAAAAATGTTGAAAGGAAAACACACGTGCACACATTTGACAGCCAAGTCGGAGGCATAATTTAGGTACTTTTATCTGTTTCACCATGTATTATAATTTTGCTTTGCCTATGTCATATGTGATCTTGTTTTTCGTCATCCTATAGCACGTATGATCCTAATCTGATTCTTTAAGTTTGATAGGCTGGTGTATTCTCTTTAAATTCAACTATTTTTTGTTAAAAAAAAAAAAATGCTCCACCAGTAGCCTCTGCATTAGAGTATTCTCTTTAAATTATGTGCTATATATTGTTGATCTTAGCTTGGACCTTTAAATTTAAGATCGACTATATATGTTTCAATAGAAAACCTATATAAC